CTGTGAGTCCACAGATCATAAACTCAGTGAGGGCAGAAATCTTTGTGAGCTTTTGTATCTTCTGTGCCTATAACCATGCATGCCTGGTCGTAAGATCAACAATAGGTGATCAGTAAATATATGTTGAATGACTCAATGCAGAGTTTTCTAGAACCCTATGAAGATTGTCAGTCCAATTAAATTAGGCTGACTTTTTTGTTGCTTTTATCACTAATAAGAAATGTATTTAATTTTATTTAAAAGCCACATGTTGGCATTAAGTAGAAAATTCTCATATTTTGCTCTAATTGTTTTCATTCTGAAAATCTAAAAGCTGTTCACTGAAAAATTTTGACTTTCATCAATGCAGTATTTCCTTATATTTGTATTAAAATTTACATATGAAAGAAAATGGGGAGGAATAGCCACTACTTGATTCTTTCCATTCATAAGCCTATAATTTGGGACCTCTGACTCCCTGGAAATAAAAGATCTAAGTTTCAGAGCTAACAATAATAGGATGAAAGTTTCCTGTTGTTAAGTGAGAATGAACTCTTTCCCTGCATGGTGGAATTCAAGGACGTTATTCATGGCGCTCTGTGCTAATTGGATTGTCTTTGGCATCGCTGGTATAAGCCAGGCACGGATCATTTCCACATGGGTATCTTGAGTCAGGCCCGCCTTCTAAACCCACAGGTCTGTTTGAAAGTCTGAGCACTTTATCACATCAAAGAGTGAAAAGGAAGTTTCTGGATCAGAAACTAAGCTGATTTCTTATATTCTGGCCTGCAGCCATAAGGTGTTCTGACCCTCCAGGAGAGGCATCTCACCAGAGCTTTTAAAGTGAGGTGCTCTACCTGCACTGGTCAGTTTGCTGGGAGATGCCTTCAGAGGGGCTGTATTATGGGAAACACCTAACAAGATGGTCCCATCCTCCTCTGGCTTGAATTCCGGGAGGGTAGCGGTGTTGGTCCTACATAGCAGTGAGGAGGTGATGTCTTTGGAGAGGCTAAACCACCCCTGAAGTGTATTTCAGCAAAGCAGTGAACTCTAGGGAGAGTGGATGGCCTGGGGAACGGCCTTCAAGAGGCTAGTCCCAGGAGAAGACGGAGGGATGAGGGTCTGAAGAAGGGTCATTCTTGGTTAGAGAGAACTGGGCAGGCCCACAGTCTGTAAGGAAGTAAACTTTGCCGTCTTATTACAAAAACCATGACAAACCAGGAGGAAATTGCACGATTCCAGACTTTACCCCCAACAACATAACATTCTCGCTTCTTGTTTTCTCTTGACCCAGTCGTGGGACTGCCTCTCCAATCCTAACTCAGACGCTCAACCCTTATTGCATCCTTTGCTGATCTGATTCTGCAACATTTGCACTAGGGTTTAGTTCTGAGCCCCAAATTTAGTGCCTTTAATGCTTTTCCTTTAGCATAATACTCCTGAGAACATTTTAAAAAATACCCTCATCTACTTCACTGTACTGCTATAATATATAACATACTTATTTTCTTTTTGTTCACTTCTTCCCCCCCACCCCAAGGTCACTTATTGAGTACCTGCCATGAGTCAGGTGCATGTTCTACAGTGATGGAGCTAAATAACTTGCCCCCAGCAGCTGATGGGAGAGTCAGATGCCCACACTAATGGCCATGCCACAGAGGCAAGGGCCATTGGAGGCTTGCCTGAAGTGTCCTGGGAGCACTGAGGATGGAGCAAACACTTTTGCTTGGCAAGGGACACGGAAGGCTTTTGAGAAGAGGTGGCCTTGAATGAAAAGGAGAAGTTGGCCTGGGAGATAAGAAGGACATTTCACATAGAGTGAAACTTGTGCAAAGGCACTGAAGCATTAACAGTTGGGCATGTCTGGGGACATCATTGGTAATTTGGTGACACCAGAACATAGGACAGATGGAAAAGTGATTAGAAATGTGGCTGTAGGGATGAAGTCTCCAGATGATGAGAAGCCTTGTGAGCCCTTCCAAGGAATTCCTTTTATTGGTGGGCCATAGGGAGCTTCAACGGGTTCTAAGCAACACGGTCATATGATCTCTTGTTTTTGACTAAGATCACTATTTTTCTCCAACTCTAATTTCATCTTATTTGTACTCCTTGTACCTTTCTTTTCCTCTAAAGGCCCACATTATCTTAACATAAGGTCAGTTAGAGATATATTTATTCTGGTTATTTATTTTCCCAAATCTGTAAAAATATATTCATCCCCCACCCCACCCTCTCTCCCCATCACCCTCCCGTTGGAAACACTTAGCAGGAGTTTGGATGTGGGTTTGGATGCAAAATTTTAAGCACTTGCTCTGTGCAAGGCACTATGTGAAGCAATTTCATTATCTTCTCTCTTCTCCCCTTACTGTCTGTTAACCACCTCCTGACACAATGACTGGGAATATCAAGGAGAGAACTTAACTGGATGCAGAACCCCAAAGAAGCCTGTAATTGACCACTGTAAGCTCACAGTGTATATCTGGGGCCCATGCAGTAAAACGGCCAGTGTCCACTCAGCTCAAGGCAAGTTCTCCAGGTCAGCTTATATTTGGCCCCTTCACCTCTCAGACCATTTGACCGTGACCACTCTAGTCTTCTGCAACTGCAGTGTCCTGGACCTTCCATATGTGCCTTGAAGCTGCTTTTAGCATTTTGTCCACAGTTAATTTGAAGCTTAGTGCATTTTACTTTCCTTCTGAAAGTATCCCCAGGAGAGATTTAACTAATTCATATTTTTTAAGATAGTGAGTGGCAAACTCCCCAGTAAGTCAGGATCCTGTCTTACTCATGCCAGTCCCCTGACCACAGGTTAGCCTGTCTCATCTCAGCCTCAGCTGTGATTTTCATGAGGATTTTTGCCAACTTACGTTTCCATGAGCTCCCCAGGACAAGACTTAGAGAGAAAAGTGCCTTTAGAGAGCATCTGCTGCCCAGCATTCAAAGAAAACCCCACAAGAATAGGACAGGCCAATGTGCCTCATTCCCCTTCCAAAAACTCATAATGCAAGGTAATCAAACATATTCAATTCAGAAAGAAAAATATTCTTGTGTATTTATGTATAATATACATGGTAGACAGTTACCTCCCAATATTCTATTTTTCCTTCTGCAAAGAACACTGATTTTTAGCTGAGCGCATTGACATCAGAATAAAGACCACCTTCCTCAGCTTCCTTTAGTTGGGAGTGGCCATATGACTCTATTTCCCAGCATCCCTTGTAGCCAGGTGTGGTCACTGGGATGTATGCAGAACTACTGGGGGAGATTTGGGAAGAAGCTCTTTATAGGAAAGATGTGAGTTCACTAGCATTCTTATACTTTCTTCTACTGCTGGCCTGGAACAAAGACATGATGGCTGGAGTTCTGGTAGCCATTTTAGACCTTTAGCTGATCTGGAGGATGTAAGTCAGTTCTCAGATAGTAAGACAGAAAATTAGAAGCTTAGGTGCCTGAAGACACCATGGGACTACCATAACAGCCCTCCCTAAACTGCCTACCCCTCAGCATCTTTTATCTAAAAATGAATAAATGAGCTCCGAGCTTATTTCAGCTATGCTTATTTTATATGCATTCAAACTCAACTTTACACTTTGGAGAGCTAGGTAAAAGTAGTTTAAGCCCACTTCCCCTATAGTAATATGGAAATCTACAGCATATGAGAATGAATCTATAGCATCTGAGCATCCAAAGCCCTCCCCAAGATACCCGTGAATCCTTAAGCATGTCATAGCCTGGTCCCTCTGCCTATGCACTTGTTACTACCTGTGCCTCCTTAGCTCTGCCTTGCTCTGAAACTCATTTTCCTCATCAATTTCCATGAAAATCCATTCAGGATCCAGGCAAAGTATCATCTCTCACATAGCACAGCAAACAACTTACTCATCTCTATCAGAACTTCCTATTGGCTCAGGTCTTTTTGCCACCTCACCTCCCTTCTGTCTTGGCTCTTTAGCCAGGAAGATCCCAATGTCTCATCTGTCCCTGCTTCTCCCTTGTCTGCTCCTACTCCTTTCCTTTTGCATTGTGTCCAAATACTTCTGCCTTGCTTCTAAAAAGCAACTCACTCACCAGAATTCCTTTTCCCAAGTTTACTATCAGGTGCCCAGCAGACAAAAGAAGTTCTATTTAATAGCATTTGCTGTCCTTAGAAGGCAGTTGTAGTTAGAAATGGCACACCTCTACCAGCGAGTGTGAATGTCTCTCTAAAAATCTTAAGAACCTCAGAGCAGAGTGCACGCATGAGTGCGTGGGGTTTGTGGGAAGTGGGAAAGGAGTGTTGGAGCACAGATCTCATTGTGTGCCTGGGTCATGCTGCACCGCTGCCATCAATACGTTGTTAGCTCACTGAGGATCACTGGCTTATTTTCCTGGAGGGTGTCTCTTCTTGCTGGAAGCTACCTTGGGAGATGGATTCCTGAGTTTTCACATTTTCTCCCATCCTGCGGTTGCTTCCCACCAGTGATAGTATCCATGCCTGGCCACTCCTCGGTGGTGTTCTGAATTTCTACTTTATTCTACTTAAGTGAATTATTAAAACGGAAATCCCTTTAAATATACAAAATAAAACATGTTAAAATTCCAATACTTGAGGATAGTGTTAATTCATTGTTAGCTTTAAATTTACCTACCATTTACTGTTGGTTTTTTTTTAATTTTCCGCTCAGTGTTGTCTCTAACCTTCATAATTTCCCTACAGTATTGTTATCGTATACCCCATTTCATAGTTAAATAAACTGATACCCAGTGAGGTGGATCAGCTTGCCCAAGGACACACAGCTGTTAAAGTGGTAAAACCGTGATGAAGATGAAGGTTCCCTGCTTCTAAGCCTGAAACTCTTAACTAGCCCTTGTCATGTATTAACTCATCGTTTCCCTGCAGAGAGCAGAGACAGGGTTGGGCGGAGGCAGAATAAATGAGCTCTGACTGAGGAGGAGGGGTCAGCCGAGGATCTGGACTCGGTGGGTGGGAAGCAAGGGCCGCCGCAGAGAGTCCTGGGAAGCCGGAAGCACCCGGAGGGATCCTCGGTGTCCGAGGGCGGAGGCGTCTGAGAGGAGCGGCGCTTTCCAGCCAGCGCCGGCTTTTGCGGTGTCTCCTGTAAGCCAGGTTGTTTTTTTTTTTTTTTTCCTTTCTTTCTTTATTATTAAGAAACTTGCTGTGAGTGAGATGGTTGAGGCCAATGCAGGTCGAAAAATAATCGGAAAGCACAGGCAGACAGAAGAAGCCAGAACCACGGGTGGAATGTTCGGGAATTATAAGCCCTCTGGCGTCTGCAGCGGAGGGACAGACTGTGGTCTGAATCGCAACTCCCCGAGTGAAGTAAGTATCAAAGTGCTTCAAGAAAGCTCATTTTCCAAAAGTAGATGTTGAGAGAATCAGAACTGGAGCATCCGACAGCAGGGGTCTGTCCTTAAGGGACACTGTGCAGAGTCCAGCTAGTTGTTATAAACCACAGGTAGGTCCAGGGATTTCCAGCAAGTTGTGCAGAGATCCTAAGTCGTTTGCACTCAATGCTCAATGAACACAGGCAGCCCTGTCGAGGGAGTTGAGACCAGGCGGTCTAAGGGACGCCTGTGCAAACGGGAGGCGCCTTCCGCCTCGGTGCCCGGAGGGAGGATTTGTTTAGTGGTGTGTGGGCACATGTGCTCACTTAAGCATCAATTAGCAAAATCACTTCCTGATTTCTGTGCTTCTCTTTTGATCCTGCCAAGTAAGAACTCACCCTTCAAGCATGAAAATAACTTCCGTTTAGGGAAAACCTACTGTATGTCGAATACTACCATGACATTTCTCTACAGCTGAGGAATCTCAGTTCTGGAAATGGTCAGGAACTGACTCGGTGCTGCACATCTAAGCCCGGGACTCCCAGTGCAGCCAGCCCTGAAGCCCGAGCACACCAGGCTGTCTCAGGACCGCCTTCCCTGGGGTGCTTGTGTGGAGCTGTGGGTCGCACACTCATGACCAAGGGCCTCAAACTTGCACGCAGCCTTATGCTGAAAAATTCCTCTCACCCTGAAATGTTCTAGTCCTGCTCACAGCTAAAGACCTACACCAGGAGAACCTCAGGGGACCCAGAGCCTGTGCCAAGTGCTCTTCCAAAAGCTGTGTGAAGATTCTTCACCCACCTACAAGTTAGCAAACTAGACTATGTGTTCCTGGAGGGCTGCCCGGCACTCAGAAGGTGTTCAGTAAATGCAGCCTATGTCATTTTTCCTATATATTGGCCTGCAACTACCACGAGTGTCTTAGAATTCTCTCGAAGTCTGGCCTGGGGTGCAGATTTCATCACACTCCTGCTGGGATAATAACCAAAGCTTTGATTTACTAAGCACTTCTTGCTGGGCACTCTGCTTTACAATTTGGATACATCATCTATTTTAGTCCTCCCAGCAAACCCTGTAAGGCAGATATTCTTATCCCAGTATAAATGAGGAAACTAAAGTGTAGAAAAGTTACATCACTAGTCTAACACATTACTCAGAAGTGAACAATGGATAGAATAGTTGAATATAAGTCTTTTTGTTTTTGCAGTCTGTACTCTTAGTAACTCTATTATCCTGCCTCCCCAGGAATTCTCTGGAATTTCTCTAGGCTTTGATCCCTGTGGTGGCCCTAGTGGTGTCCAGAGCTTCCCTTGGCCTCAGGGTCAGAGACCTTGTGAACCAGCAGCTCAGCCTCTAAGGAAGCCACAGGCCCCTGGTGACCAAGAACATCCATAGGGTTCATCGGCCCAACCAGTGTTTAGGGCTTAAGTAAGGAAACACCCTGATGTGTGATATCTTTGCCGCAGATTCAGAGATTCCACAAATTGGCAGTTGTTAAGCTCATGCTTTCACAAGAAATGTTCAAACCATCAAAATGGGTATTTCCTACATCCTGGGAAGAACGCAACTCTAAAATTGTACCTGCTACTTAAAATGCTATTCCTTAAGTAAAAGCAGGAGGAAGAGGAGGAGAGGAAGAACTCTTTACCAATTTTGATAGCTTTTATAATACTTCATAAAGTTCATGATAAGCTTTCTTCAGAGCCTGAACAGAGAGAATACAAATTGCATGATCTCCCAGACTTACCTCGATGGTGGTGCTTTGCCCCCTTGTCTCATCTGAAAATGGCATGTGACTTGTTCTATCTTATTTCAGAACTAAGCATTAGATTATATGTCTTTTCTCTAGCTATGACCTGGTTCAGTGTTTGTTTTTTATTTTGTTTTGTTTTACTTAGAAAAATAGCTTTCAGTTCTCATCTTCAAAACAGAAAATCAGTCTCTTAAAAATGAACAGATCATTCACAGGTGAGGAATGTAAACACTTTGGAATTCTGGAGAAAAGACGTGCTTCGTGCACAGCCAAGTAAATATGAATTGCTTAATTTCGGCACATCTTTTTTCTTATTAGATTGAAAATCCAGCCATTCTGACTGCCTGTTACCATCTGCTTGTTCCTTTTCTGAACACCGACGAAAGGCCTTGGGGAAGATTGACCCTTCAAGGAATAATCCAGCTTCTCCAGGGGAAAATAACTACTTGACCAGAATACGCTTTAGCAACAAAAGGATCTCCACCTGCCCTCTAAAACTGTTTGGAGCAGGACTAAACAATGTCTGAATATAACGGATTATAATTTCTACAGTATGTGAACACTTGCTGATCAAATTGCTGAAGGGCTGTGTGTTTGTAGTTGAGGTTTTCTTCTGCAGTTTTACTTTTAGTTTAGTTTTGTTTTGCAAGAACAAAAGAGGAAGGGCCGCCTAACCAGCCCGCGAGACGATTCCGGCAAGCCTGGAGTTTCCTGAGGTTCACAGCTGCTGACTTCAGCCGGCAGGCGCCGAAGTGCATGTTACTGCCGCTGCTGCAAACTGGGTTTTTCCTCTTCCTGTAGTTTGTAGTTTAGAAGAACTGCACATCGGGGACTCCTCCAGCTCCTCCAGACCCGGCCCCGTCTGGCTCTCTCTCAGGGTCCTGCAAGAACCTGTGAGAAGTGGGTCTGTGAGTGTTTTCGTGTGTGTTTATTCCCTCGCTGAAGAGTGTGTATGTGAGTGGTGTGTGTGTGAGAGAGAGGACTCAAGAGAGGGAAGAAAGACTGATCGATTCTTCGGCCTCAACTTCTGCATCCCGTAGTCGGCAGCTCTGTCCCCAGGCTGGTGTGTCCTGGCGCAGAGCTCCGGGATGAAGTCTCCCTGGAAAATCCTTATGGCTGCTCCTGTGTTCTTTCTTCTGAACCTTCACACCTCAGCCTCCCCAGCCTATGATGACCACCCCAGCAGACACTCCAAAAGCCATGCCTGTATAGGTACGTAATTATATTCTGCAACCTTTTTATGTGGACGTAATGGGGTCAGATACTTAGCTTGCACAGTAAATCACCTATTCAGTGACAGTAATAGCTGTAAGATTCTAAGGAAGGCGCCAGTAATCTCACCAGCAAAGAAAAATTGTGAGTCTTAGAGGGAGTGTTCACACTGTATGCACGTATGTGTGTTTTAGAAGTGTGTGCTGTATAGTTGCTAGTTTGAATTAGTCATAAGAGTCTTCCACCTCACTGGTGATTGGAGTTTCTTCCCCCTGGATGGGCAGCTATAAGAGCCTGAGATTCTTACCGCCTTTCAGGACAGTAGGCAGCATTACACAGTGGAGAGGGAAGGGACTTTGACCTGTGAATTGCTTCCACCCCTCCCCCCTCTGCTCCATCCCTTACTGTCTGTGAAACTTTGAGCAACTTACTTAACACTTCCATGCCTCTGTGTCTCATTGCTGAAACAAGGCTTACAGGACACACTTCATAGGGATGTTGTAAGAATTGAGCTCATGTGTGTAAATTTATGGAATTTGCACACAGTAAGGATTCAACCATCTTAGTTTCCTTCTTTCTGTCAAGGAGTCCGGAGTTGGCAATAATAGAACAGTCACCTGGAAACACTGAACATTGATGGAGATACGGCTTTTCAGTTATATTTTATTGAAGTTTTTTATTTTCAAGTTGTTGCTCTTCTTGTTGTCTGTTTAGGTTGTTTGGGTTTTTTTGAGAGGAGTAAAAGTAGGGTAAGAGCTCTGATATTCATATTGTACCTGGAGCTTCCAGAACAGTGCTGGGCCTTTCAGTGGGTCAGTCCGTGGAGACAAGGAGTCTCAGAAGTCTGAGTAGCATGTATTTAATGAGTAGATTTCAAAATAGAATCCTGGTTTACGAAGCCAGAAAAGAAACTTGAGGGATAAGTGTGATGGCCATCTCTTACAAATGGAAAATTTGGACACAGATTGTGACACATGGAAATTATTTCTGGAGACAGTACAAGAAACTATCTAAACTAGTCCTATTTCCTAAAAAAAACATGATTTATGTACTTATAATGACCATGACATGTCATTATACATATTAAGTAATGCATATCTGGTTCCAAACTCTCCTTTTAAATTAAAACCTTAAGACCCAGACTCCCTGCAGATCTGTTCTCTGTAGGTCCGGAAGCAGAGGTCTGTGGCCCTACTGGAACCACTCCTGAGAGGTCATCCTATTTAGTTTCATTAAATAATTATTTACCACCATTTTATTTTCTCAAAACAAATTCCTAAAGCCTGTCAAATGGAAATACACTTGATAAAGTGAAATCAGCTCTACTTCTAGGATGGTTGCAAATGAAATATTTAGATTTAGGTAAGTTGTCTAGACCTCCATCTTTATGAAGTAGACATGAGATAACTCATTCCTGCCCCTGTGTCATTCCCAATGAGGCATAGAGAGTTAGAAGAAGGTGTTGAGGGGATTCCAGGATGGGCTTGTTCAGATTATCTTATTACTGCATAACAAATTCTAAAATAACAGTTTTGTTATCTCACGACTTTGTGGGTCAAGTATTTTTCACAGTCTGGCTGGTGATTCTTCTGCTCCATGTAAGGTTGACTAAAGTCACTAGGGATGGGTCTGGAATGAGCTAAGACAACTTCCCTCATGTTTGGCACATTAGGAAGGGAGCTGGCTAGAAGGTTGGCTCATCTGGGAATGTCTGTCAGAGCTTTTACACTTGGCCTGTCCAGCAGAGCAGTCTCAATGCAGTAGGACTTCCTGCATGGCAGCTCAGAGATCCCAACAAGAGAGAGTTCAAAACACAAGGACTAGAAGCTGCCAGTCTCTCAAGGCTTGGGTCTGGAAAGTGGCACAGCATCACTTCTGCCATCTTGTATTGGTTAAAGCAGTCATCTTGTATTGGTTAAAGCACTTCTGCCATCTTGTATTGGTTAAAGCAGTCCCTCCACTCAGACTCAAGGGGAGGGGACATGGATCCCTCCTTTTGATGGGGAGTATCGAGGCATTTGTGGCCACCCAGGTTCATTCAGGTTGCCCGTACAAATATTTGATGGCTCCGAGAGCTCAAGAGAGTCTGTTCTGATTAGGTCTGATAATGATTTAGCACCCATTTCCCACCACTGCACAAGTTCTAGAGAACTCTGCCTGAATAACTTGTCCAGCTGGCACATTTGCTAAGTGCTGTGTGCTGAGCTGGGTGCCGCAGGTGGTCTGAACAGGTGTCTTCCTGTTTAAAGGTGGCTTCTTGGGGAAACGGACTCAGAAATTTGTGTGTGTGAGTTCATTGAGGTGAGCTCTTGGGGAAAACACCTGTGAGGGAGTGAAGGCAGCAGCGGTGGGCAGGAGAGGGTATGCAGTGCTGTAGCCACACAAAAAAGAGGGGAGGGCTTCAGCCAATGCCTTGGAAAGCTCTGGAGCTGAAATGACTCTTTAGAGCCCCCCTGAAGTGGGTCCAGACCTTGGAAGCCCCATCCTGAACAGTCACAGGGTGTGAACTGACCCATGGGGGAAAGTGCCCCCTTGTAGAAGCAGTGCGTGGAGATGGACTCTGGGGTGCACGCTCTGCACCAACACCCCCAGCAGCTGGAGGGGAGTTTGCCTCCTGAAAGAGGAACTGGGGGTGCCCTTACTCTCAGGTTAGATGTCAAAGTGCCTCAGGAAGCAGTGAGGTAAGCTCACTCACAGCTGGCAGTAAGAAGAGCCTCACAGGGAGGGTGGGAGGAGAGACGAAATTACCAAATTAACAGCTGGGCTTCTGTTAACCTCAGCAACCTTCAGACGAAAAGCAGGACTGTATGCCTTCAGATTCATTGGCCCCTATTGTCCAGAGTTTGCATGTAGTAGTTCAGCCCACGCAGAGATGGACTCTCTTTTCGCTGCCAGTCCACCTTCCCAGTGGAGAGAATCTGGGCCAAGACTAAGAGGAAGGTGGGAGGGAGGGGAGCTCACAGGGCAGATGTGGCTGCCAGGGTCGTGGAGGGAGAGGGCAGCTGTCACAGAAGTGGGGATTGTTGTGACTGGAGAGCTACATAGAAATTCCTGAGTGGCTGAGCCCATAGCCCCATCATAAACAAACAACTCCAGCTCCTATGCCAAGAGGAGCCTTTGCGGTGGGAAACCAACCAGCAGACCTGAAGGGCGTGGCCTTGAACATATTCCAGAATCAGAACTAAGCTGTGCAAAGCCCAGATGGCCTCTTTTCCAATTTGCTGAAATTCCTTCGCACTGAACTGTACATCCCATTTGATCACTCAGCAAACGCTGATTCTACTGTGCATGAACAGGCAGTGCCTCTTTCTGCCACTTTTCAAATGTTATGAAATCAATAATAAGCCATGTTCATTTTTGCAAAATATCATTTTCTTCACATGGGTGATTTAAGGGCTAAGTAATCCTTATGTTTCTAAGTCATTGACCTTTAAATTAATTCATTGAGTTTTGAGGGTTTTTTTTTTTTTAAAGCCCTGTTTGGTGCTCAGGAAGCTTTTATAAAGGTTTTTTTTTTTATTTAACAAAGACCTTTTTTCCCTCATTCATGTTTGGTTAAATATATAAAATGCCTTCAGAGTCTGTTAAACCCCACCTCCCCAACCGCACGCCACACGCAGAGTGGTCAGAGATGACTTTACAGTTTGAATGATAAAGAGGAAGAAGTGGCCCTATGGTTTCTAGCCAAGGTAAATGGTAAAATGATAGTGTCACTGACAAAAACAGGAAAGGTTTAGACAGAGCCAGCAGTGAAGGCTGAAAATTTATGATCGTAACTTACATATACAGAAATTGCATTTTCTCTGTTTCTCTCTACCTGAACACTTGTTCATAAGCCACCACCATGGCCGCTGACATTTCATCTTTCCACTCAACGTGTGTAGATTTCGTCTGCTCTGGGTAACTCAGGGCCCTCCTCCTTCCCCTGCTCTCTGAGGGTTGGTCTCAGTTCTCCAGGAGGGCACGTGTATCACCCTGACACTTCCAGTCCGCGGCCGTCAGAGCTCCCACACTGGGTGTTGTGGCGGGTGCAGCTCTTGGGCTGGTGTCCACAGAGTCCACGCTCACTCCCTGCTGAGCTGTGGCTCACTTCCACCCTCGCGGGCCCTGCAGACCCCTCTAGGTGAAGCCGGATGCCCACTGGTTCCCAGCTGCAGCCAGAGCCCTCTGCACTTGTCCCTCACTTATCACACTCCCTCTCTACCTAGTTCCCTACTGTTAGTTTTAGATCATCAAAGAATTTAACCCCGACCTTGGCACAGAGGGTGGGTTTCTTTCTGATCATCTCAGTTTTCACTAAATTCACGTTTGCCTTTTTTTTTTTTCTGGATTGTTTTGGGGTCACAGCTCTGAAGAGAAAGACCACAAAAACCCTCTAGATGCATATCTGCAACTCGGGGGAAAAGTCACAAAGTGAGCAAAACTGAAAGAATCCAAGTAGACAGTATGCTTTTCTTTAAGAAGAAAGTGAATAAATTTCTTTTTTGGAGGGAAGAAGGGCAATAAACTACATCATAGTTTAAATGTACTATGACAAAGAGGAAAAAAGAAAAAGAACGTTGCAAAGTATTATGCAGAGTAAAATCCCCACAGAGTTATAATGTGCTTATCTCTCTATTTATATAGTTGTCTTCCCAGATAGGATGAACAGCAAAGTGCTAATAGTGGTTGCATGATTATCTTCAAGTGATGAGGTTACAAATGACATTTCTTTTCAGTGCATTCCTGAATTTCCCACATTTTCCAGATAAGCTTAAGACATGGTGGTTTAAAGCAAGAGAGCTTGGGCTCTGAGGCCAGACTGCCTGGGTTTGAATCCGGGCTCTGCCACTCTGTACAAATGTGACATTAAGGGCACAGCTTCACCCTCTGCACCTTACGTCCCCTGAATGTAAGGTGAGAATTACACGGGACTTGCATCCTAGGGTGGTGTGGAGGGCTAATGAGTAAATACACAGGAAGAACTTAGAACTATGCTTGGTACAGAGTAAGTACCCAGA